ACCTTTGATATCTGAATATTGACTTTGTATCCTTCTGTTTTGCCAAATTCAGTTATTAGATTGAGTAGTTTTTGGTGTAGTCTACAGGGTTTTCTATGTACACTATCATGTCATCTGCAAAGTTAGATAGTTTTACTTCCTCCTTTCCAATTTGGATGCCTTTTATTTCTTTTTCTTGTCTGACCACTGTGGCTAGTACTTCCAATAGTATGATGAATAGAAGTGGTGAAAGCGGACATCCTTGCTTTGTTCCTGATGTTAGTGGGAAAGCTTTTAGTTTTCACCCATTGAGTATGATGTTGGCTGTAGGTTTTCATATATGACCTTTATTATGTTGAGGTATGCCCACTTTATTCCCATTTTGCTGAGTGTTTTTATCATAAATGGGTGCTCTACCCTATCGAATACTTTTTCTGTATCCAAATGGTAAGAATCTTGAATTTAAATCCTACCTTCTGAAGCTTCCTAAGGTATTTGTTCCCTCAGTCTTAATGTAAACTAGGTGAATTAATTTCTACTTTACTGGGTTGTTGTGAATATTGACAATAATATATAAAGCATCTTATGTAGGAGTTGGTATACAAAGTAAGCCCTCAATTAATTATTTGTAGGCTCCCTCTCCTTGAGGAACTCTCCATTTCCATTATTATTATTATTCAGACATAGCCACTGTTCTTTCAGTCTAGTTGGAGAGACACGCATATCAAGTCATTAGATTGTAGTGTGGTAAGTGAAATAGTAGAAGAAACAGACATTGAGTTAGGGTGATTGAGAGTTAAAAGTTTGATATGCAACATTAGCTTTGCATACTATCAAATACATTTCTGTTGCAAGAACCTTGTTTCATAAGTTTTATTTGGTATCTTATGAAGGTTTCAGGCCTATAAGAACAGCTAGTACAATGATCCAGGGCTTTACCACATGCAGGCATATAACACCTCATTTAATCCTTACAAAGTAGAAACTATTATTATACCTATTTTTTAGGTTGGCAAACTGAGGCACAGAAAGGTTAAAATAACTTGCCTAAGGTCACATAGCTATGAAACCAGGATTCAAACTAGGTACTCTAGCATCAGAGCCCACATTTGTGACCCTCCTTATACTTCCTTCTATTGTCTCCTTCTTCGAGTTTCATTGTACAGCTAATAGAGAATGTAACTAACTATTCTTGAGAAAATCATACAAATCAAGGGAAATTCATGGAAAACTGAGAATAAAAGAGAAGAAAAAGCATTGAGAAGAAAAGCAAAGAGAAGAAAAACATTGCATTTGGCAGTAAATATAGTCCAGCCAACTCTTCTCTAGTCAGAATCTAAGGAGTGTTCTCTTTTGACAAATCCAGGACCAGTCAAACTCATTCTTTCCCATGTCCAGTTTCCAGAGGTGGCCCAACCAAGCTCTTCCCTTGTGGACTGGATAGTTTAAAGTGTTCTACAGATGTTTTATTTTTTTTTAATCACATTTTAAGTCAACTTCATTTTCTCTTTCTGAGGAATATGAATTGCAATGTTTCTCATTTTCTCAGTCCCTGGTAAAGCCCATGCTTTTACCCTCCTGGCTTACTGATGCTTTCCACTAGAAGACCCTGTCCCTGAGATTTCAAGAACATTTAACAAAATTGGTACATCCTTGTTCTGATACAAGATCTTGTTCCATTGAAAGAATATTTTGGTTTTATAGATGTGTTGGTCACAATCTAGTTTGTCTGGAAAGCTGTGAAAGATAAAAGAAGACCACACTCATTTTATTTATTTAAATTTTATTACATTTATTGGGGTGACATTGGCTAATACAATTATATGAGTTTCAAGTGTACAACTCTATAGTACATCATCTATATGTTGCATTGTGTGTTTACCACCTGAAGTCAATTCTCTGTCACCATATATTTGCAGAAGGAGAATCATCATTTTACAGAAGGAGAATCTAAGAACTGAATCCTGGGGAAGTCAGTGAGTAGCTTATGTCTTCATGAATCAGAAGGTTCATAGGAAGGAAAGAGTAAGAAACAAGACAATGGCAGTCCTGAGTCCCCAAGTCCATTTTCAGAATTCCTGTGCACTGGTTCCACCTCAGGGTTTTTTGTTTGTTTGTTTGTTTGTTTGTTTTCCTGGAAGACCTACAAAAGTCTTGCCTCTGATTCTTTTTTTCTTTTTATCTCTCTTTCCCTCCTTCCCTCTCCCTCTCTCTCTTCCTTCCCTCCTTCTTTCCTTCCTCCCTCCCTCCCTTCCTCTCTCTTTCTTCTTTTCTTCTTCTTTCCTTCCTCCTTTTCTCTCCTTTTCTTTCTCTTTCTTCTCCTTTCTCCCTTCCTCCCTCCCCTCTCTCCCTCCCTCTTTCCTTTCCTTTCCTTTCCTTTCCTTTCCTTTCCTTTCCTTTCCTTTCCTTTCCTTTCCTTTCCTTCCTTCTATCCTCTTTCCATCCCTCTTTCTCCTCCCCACTTTTCACTGGGGCATTAGAACATTAGGAACTTGAATGAGTGAGCACACCAAGGAGAGTTTAGAGAATGAGGAGATTCAAGAGTGATCCCTCAACTCATGAAGATGAGAAATTCTTTTATTTTAGGAGAAATATCCTGTTCAGTGCTGCCTTGGAATTTTTCCATCCTTTATTACCAAATCTCTTTATTTCATCCTTCATGTCCCTACCTAGTGTGGCTGCCTTTCATCTCCTCACACCTGGTTCATTGCTCCAGTTGACCTATTTTTGGCCTAACTCTGAAAGTCTTCTCCCTCTAAAATGCCCTTACACTGGAAATAGCCTCTGCCGTCTGCACCCTGAAATTTAATGTTTGCCATAATTTGATTCTACTGCACTTATTGGTTTTTCTCTATCAATAATTCCAATACATACTTCTCTTCAACAGTATCTGTTGCTCACAAGCAGGGTACAAAGCACTATGTTGCCTGGCAGTGGCTACAAAAGTAAATAAAACTATCACGTTTTATGTTCACCTCTTGATGATCATGAAGTCATGGATCTTGTCCTTAAGTAATGCAAAATGTAGAGGGAAACAAATAATTTTATGTACTGTAAGGTAGAATGGAATGAGTTATGGTGACTAAAGGACCAAAGGGGGGTGAAGGAGTACAAAAAGAGCCATAATTAATTCAACTAATGACACCAGAGAAGCTTCATAGAGGAGGTGGCATTTGAACTTGGCATTAAAAGATATATAAATGAATAAGGGGTGTGGCACACATTCTAACTGAGGCTATGCCGCACATAGGCACGGGCCTGGGAACATGCATAGTGTATCTGGGGAGGTGCCCAAAAATACACCATGTAGATCCAAAGCTCTGTTTTTCTCTTTTGTTGTTTATGCTTTCTTCATGTGAATACCCTCTGTCTTCTTCATCCTCTGCTGAGTTCCATCCATCCTGCAAAAACCGGTTTCAGCCCACCTGCCCCATAAGGTCTTTTCTGACTGTGCTAGCTTGTGCCACTCCTGTAGTATGTGGTTGAGGACTTAACTGCAGTGTCTGTGCTGGATTGGTTACTCAGCTACTCCAGGGCAGACATTACACTCATCTCATGCTTTGGGAGCCTTGCAGCCCCAACACAGTGCTAAAGGTAGTCAGGGCTAGATGGTTCTATGGGCCCATTCACTAGCACTAACACCTTCATTCTATCTAAATGTAGTTTATTTCTGCTGTTCAGCCTGGGGTTGTTTGTAGGCATTTAGAATTTAGATGGTTATGTTTGTTAACACATAAGGGAAGCAATTCTTTAACTACTCAATGTTCCACTCAGCCATGGCAGGGAAGGGGGAGGAGCACTTATCTCAGCTTGAACTCCATGACTCTCTGGGCAGAGCCTTGGTCACTGCGGTGAACCCAGTTTTGCAATCTGCAACATCATCTCCCAAGTTCCCTCTGGAGAATGACTTTGCTTCTTTCAAGGTCTCTTGTATTGATGGGTGAGGTATACTTAGTTTCCCTAATGTGCCAGAAATATAGTTTGTCAATTCTTTTTGAAGAATGGGATACTGGGTATGGCTCCTTTTTATTTCTGTGGCTGCTAGGATTGTGTATTATTCTGGTTCTGCAGAGAAACAGAACTAATGGGAAATAGATGTAATAAGGAATTGCCTCATGTAGTTATGGAGATTGGAAAATCCCAAGATCTGTAGTCAGCAAGCTGGAGAGGTGATGGTATATAATTCCAGTCTGCATCCAAAGGCCTGAGAACCAGGAGAGTTGATGGTGTAAGTTCTAGTCCAAGTCAAGTCTGAAGGTAGGAGAAGACTGATGTCCCAGCTCAAAGACAGTCAGGGAGAGAGAGAGAGAGAGAGAGAGAGAATAAATTCTCCCTTACTCCACCTTTTTGTTCCCTTCGAGCTTTCAATGGGTTTGGTCATGCCCGCCCAGAAGGAAGAGGATTAATCTACTTCACTTTCTCTACAAATTCAAATGTTAATCTCATCCAGAAACACCCTCACAGATGCACTTCAGGTAATGTTTACCCAAGTATCTGTGCACCCCATCAACTTGACACATAAGATTAACCATCACAGAGTGATATGGAAGGAAAGCTTGGCCAGACAGAAAATGTTATGAGACTTTTGAAGTAGAGACTGAAACAAGATGCCCCAACAGTCTAGTCCCTACAGAAAGAACATTTTCCAACACACCATTTGGGGATTGTACTTGCACTGCTGAAAGCCACAACTCTGATGGCTTCCCATGCCATACAGTCATGTATGGTTGCTCTAATCAAGCCAGTTGTATCATGAACAAAGTTTCCTGGGCAAAGGGTCTAGTAGAGGCTGAACTGCAGCCCACATTTTATTTACCAAGCCATGCACTTGTGTGAGGGGCTACATCTGTCTCAGGTAAGGGGGCTTTCCCTAATTTGCCCAAGGTGCTGTGTGGACTGGTAGAAGCCATGCTCCAGGGTATATTGAGGGTACACAGGGTATCCTAGGTGGTGTGCCATAGCATATTACAAGTGTGCAAAATACTGACCCTCTTCATGCATGGAGTTACTGGAAAGGATCATTAACTGTAGTCATGAGAAGCCTGTAGCCACGGGCAATCTCTGGACCTGAACATTCGTGATTGTTTACCCCACTGTACCATAAAAATATATCTGCGTGTGCTGTGATGTAAAGAAGATTGGGAATCACTGTGCCAGGGGACTTGTCTTATCATTCATCCAGAAGGCAGCCATTTCAGAAAGAGCACATGTCCATCTGCCTATGTAGGCACAAGCTATTTCCAGCAACAGAGGGTTTCCTGTTTTGCTTACATGTTGGGATGTGGTGATATGCAATCTTCATGTGAGATCTGGGTAAACAATGTCTGGATCCAGAGCATCTGTCATTATCTATGGTTGTAGTTTAGTTTCCATGGAGAGAATGCTGTCTGGTAGCTTAGATCACAAATTCATAGCTTGAAGTCCCAGGAGGCTTGCTGTCCTGAACGTTGTTTTTTTTCATCTGTGCTCAAGAGGGAGATGGAGGACATGTTAACTGAAAGGTGCTGCTGGGGAATTCCAGATTTTCAGTGCTGGAGAAATCTGGGGTAGCAGGGCCTTGCCCTTTTTGAGTCCTTCATCTTTGCTTCAGTCATCTGATTTGGAAGCCCTTGGGCCATCAACTACTTCATTCAGAAAAAAGTAGGACAAATGAGGGGTACTTGCATTGATTTCTATTACTGGCTTTAAGTAACATCCAGGCTCAATCTGGTTATATTCCTTGTTCTTAGTTGGGCCCTAATTCCTTTTGTAAACAAATAACTGTACCTTCATCTATACACAGTGGCAAGTGGCTAGTATCTCATGTGGTCTAGTTTAGAACACTGTAGACAAACTTCCCACTGGCTTGAGGAGTCTGGTTTTAAATTACACACTGACCAATGAATAATTGGCATTCAATTTGTCTAGAGGATTTACTTGGAAATGTCTCAATTCAGGACTCCTTCTCTGTTTCATTCTCTTTCAGATCTGGCTTAAACATTCAAGCACCCTACCCCTCACTTCTTGCTTCTCTTTCCTCTTTCCTCTCCTTTCCCTTTTCTTCATTCCTCTCTTCCCCTGTGTGATCACTGAGGGGAAAAAAGGTCCTTCTGTCTTTCTCAAGGACACTTGGCTTACCTTTACAATTAAACTGTCCTATGCATTAAGTTCCTTACTACCTTCCTACTTGTCTAGCTCATAGATGCCTTATAGAATCAGCTCTTAATTCTTATTTATGGATTTATTTATATTCTAAGTTCCCAATATATCCTTCCTCTATTCATCTGTTATCATTAGTTTCCCATTTCTCTAGACTCCTAGGTTCAAATTTATCTTTCATGATTAGCTTCCTGCATATTAGCTCAGCTATTAAACAGGAATATTTATAAAACACTTCATTCACTAAGAGGCCCCGACACTGTCCTTTTGACTGTAGCAGAAATGAGGACATTCAGACAGTGACAACCCCTCAACAGATTCCCCAAACTGAAAATCCTGTTGAAGGACAGGGTTTACTGTTCTTCAGCATATTACAGAGAAGGACATGTGAGTGCAGGGGCTGTAAGTGTCACTAGGACACTACAAATGGTTGTCCAGGTTTCATCCTGTGAAGGTCAGCTGAGGGGACAAATGGGAACTGAAGTTCATCCTGTGTTTTTCTCACCAGTCTGTCCACAGAGAGGAACCTCTTCTCTTATTTTTACACTGTGATATAACAGTGGCCCTGGCTACTGTAGAGGCTGGAGTTTCCAGACTATGTTCAGGAGCTTAGGGGATCCTGCACTTAAAGGGTGGAATCAGCACCCCAAGCAGGCCAGCCTGTGGATAGCCATTGACCTTGGGACTAGTGCTCTGTGCATGTGTGGCAGTACCTTACACCAAAGCCCTCAGCCATCAGTCCTGAGAAGTCTAGAGACACGTTCCAAGGAAACCAGCTGGCCCCTAGTTGGATGAGTAGTGTATAGTAGAATGGTCAGAACAGATAGGACAACAGGGTTAAAAAGTCAGAAATGATTTACCTTATCAGAGTACTGCACTATGGAATAAATCGTGTTTACTGGCATCTCCTTGATGGGGAGCACCTGTAAAACACCCACCATCCCCTTAGTAAAAAAAACCCAGGCACAATGTTGAGTCTACCTTCCTACTTCTACTCCCACCCATCACCCCTCCCTGGTCACATTTTCACTAGATGGACTTCTTTCCAGGTCTCAGCTCTGCTTCCATCCAGGTTTGCAGAGAATCATGGTCAGGTGAGCATGCAGCGGGAGGGTAGCATTTGGGCAAAAACCTTGAGAGGAGGGATCTGTGTGGTTGAGACAGTTTTGCTCAAAGTTTTAGCTTTATGGATGCAGCTGCCCTATCATTCCAAGCACAGTGCTAGATTCACCAGGCAGACCTCAGTTCCCCCCCCCGCACCTCGCTCTTTGTAGACTTCAGAGGAGCAGGCTGGCAGAGGCACAGAAGAAGATGATACCATGTAGAATCCTGATTCAGAGTGGGGTTGAGGAAGGGGCAGGCAAGTAAAAGGTAGATGGGAGAAAAGGGTGTGGGACAGAGTGGCTCTGAGCCTGAGGAAAGTAAACTGAGGCCACAGCCATACCAGGTAGTCCAGTTCGAGGGCACCTCTCTTAGTTCTGTGTCCTTGGAGCTCCCTTATCAGTCTGCTTATGTGTCATTGGCCACATAACAGCCCTCACTTCACACAATGGGCTCTCCTGTGATTTATACCCTGTAGAGGATGCTTCGCTCCTAATCATGATTCATCTAACCTTGTGCCAGGCTCCTATATGGAAGCTTGGGGCCTTAAACCTGTAGGCTGCCATGGGGTGACAATTGACTGCATTCAATTAGAGAGAATCATGGCATCATTTCCCTGATATGGTATTTCCTGGTTGGAACTCCAGATTCTTGGTTATGGCTTCTGTCTGGGCAGCAGTAAGCAGAGGCCTGCTGTCTATGACTCCCTGTCCTGGGGGTACCAGTGAGGATCCCTGAGTTGTGTCAGCTCACCTTGGATGGGGGGATTTCATCATAGATTCTGGACTCTGCTGGTTGGGCATCTCTTGAAACCATGAAATATGTGTATGTTGTGTTCTTTGAGGCGGCATCTGTACCACAAATAAAGATAGAAACACAGTATGTGAAAAGTGGGTGACTTTTTAGAGATGGTCTATTCTAATGTTTTCTTTTTAAAAGGGAGAAATGAAGCCCAAGAGGCTCCCATCCTCTTGAGATGGATGCTTGGGTGCTTGGACTGTTTCTCCCTCTTCTAGGGATTGCATGTAGTATGAGAGGCACCCAGCTCAAGCCTCACCCAAAGCTCAGTGGGAATTCTTTTCTATTCTTGAGTCCACATTAGGCTAAGGCAACTCTTCTCAATCTCTGTATGGGCCATCAAAATAGCTCTTCTACCTAGGGTCTTCTTAGTGTTTCTGGCACTTGACATTGACTGCCTTGCATGGCTAGTTGTTTTTTAATGAGAGGGTCTTGGTTTTTCAACTGGATTAACTATCTCTAGTTATACACTGTGTTGGATTCTTCTAGTACATAAATTACTGTTACCACCTCAATGTTAAGCACATAGCAGATGCTCCACAAACATTTGTGGCTTGCTTGGTTGACTCACACAGTCAAATATTTATTAATTTTTAATAATAAATTTATTTATGTGCCAGGCTTTGTGTAATGCTACAGAGAAGTAAAGACAGGAGAGAGATGTTCCTACTTTTAATTTATGGGCTGGTAGAAGCATTCATCCCAGCATACCACTTTTCTTTGCTCCTGACATGGAATATTTTAGGGTCAGGTTGAAAAGACATAGAATTTAGGGTCTTCATGTTCCATGGCACTAACATATCCACACACAATAGGTCTGAGCTGAGCAATATCAGGCAGATCCAACATTTCAGATTTCAGCCCTGTCTAGCCTCAGACTTGGTGAGTGAGCTAGACCAAGCGCTCTTTCTTGTCTCACTTGTAAATAAAAAAAAGTAGCCCTTCTTCATTCCCAAGAGGTAGTAAGGAATTGAATACAGATGTCTCTTTGAGGAAATCTAAAGATTGATCACCTGTGACCTGAGTAGGCTATGTGACTTATCATGAGGTCAATCCCGGGGCTATCAATTAATAATGGTAACCTACGTTTACTGATACTTACTATGTACCAGGCACCAGGCCAAGTATTTTATATGTGTAATTACTTTTAACCCATTTAATGAATATACATAGCAACTCTTTATTATACATATTTTATAATTGAGAAAACTAAGTGTTACAATGATAAAATAACTGATAACTGGTCAAGCTAGGACCTTCACCTCAGACTGTCTGCAAAGCACAACCCCTGTGCTGTGAATTCATCTTCCCCAATAGTCATCCATGGAAACTTGTGACTGAGAACTTACCGGGTTCCTTACTGAAGATCTTCAAGTAGGGATCTGAGGAGTTAGACCAAAGGAGAGCCAAGGACATAGAAGCAGAGGGAGAGCCTCTCTACATCCAGGATTGTTATTATAATTTGTGGAGAAGGAAGATTTTGGGTCGTCATGGAGTTAGGAGGAATAGAAGGGTTGTAATGATCTAATGATCTCTTAGGGTGCTAAGATCAGGTTTTCTGAATTGAGAATGGCACAAATACAGGAGGATCCAGAGGGATCTAGAATAATCTAGTGACAACTATTACAAAATTATTACATGTTCCTCAATGTCTCTCCAGAGGTCATAGTCAAAATATGATGGAATTGAAAGTAACCCTGGAGACCCTCTAGTCCAAACCTTATTTCACATGTGAGAACAATGAACCACAGAGGAAAAGACCCATGTTTGATTAAGCACAGATTATTAATGGCAATGCTAATCTTGGACTCAAGCTCCATTGTTCCCATACGCATATTCTAAAGATCATTCAGAGTGATATCATACAGCCAGGGCTTTCAGTCTGGGAGATAGTGAGGTGGTGGGGTAGGGTAAGGATTGTAGAAATGACTCCCTGGAGAAAAGGACCTCTCCACAACTCCTTGGATAAATAACTTCAGTCCCAGAAAGAAGGAAGATGCATTGCCACATTAGGAAAATCTTACCTTGTTTCCTCTTGCACAAAAGGAACAAAAGCACTGGAGGTAGAATGAGTATAAACAGAGAGAGGACAGCCAGCCCACTCAGCAACACAGTGTGGTGAGTTTGGAGTCCCATTGTGATATCTGGAAATGGAAGATGCAATGAGACAACTCCCAGAGAATAGGCCCAAGATGCTGGGCAGGCTTGTCTGCATTCAAGGGGCACTGTCAAAATTGGGTGCCCTCCAAGAGAGTACCAAAGCTTTGATGGAAATTGTACCTTCTGCTAAATCAGGGTTATAAACGGAATCAGGGAACATCTCTCAAAAGGCTTTGAAGTAATTTCTAAGGCTTCCTCCTTGGAGGATATGCCCCTTGGGACTAGGCTTGCCATAAGGAAGACATACTATTTCAGAGAATGAGGCCCATCCTCAGATTGATTTGTGAGACTCCAAAAGAGATGAACAAAGCTGGTTACCTGCACAGAGCTGCTGGGCAGAGATGGAGTCAGAATTGTTGCTCACAGGGTTCCAGGCTGTACATGTGTAAGTCAGCTCTTGGTTGTCAGGAGTCTGGAAGATTTGAAGGACACTACCCTCTTCCCCCAGGGGACTCCAACTATATATCACATTTTTTTCTTCTTTTTCCACGGAGCATGTCAGTGTGACATTACAGGTACTGTTCACAGATATCATTAAACTCTGAGTAATTTTTGGCTTCCCAAGCCTGCCTATGAGAAGAAAACACATTATCCAGTGGTAAGCTGGAGCTGGCCTATACCAGTTTCTGAGAGCCAACTGTTATATTTTTTAAAAAGTCTTTAAGTTTTATTAAACACAACCATCATGAAAAAGCAAAAATAAAAGCTTACAATAAAATGTCATATTTAAAACAAGCCTAATAAATACTCAAAACTCATCACTTTCTAATTTTTTGATGATTTACCATTATCTATGCTCTAGAAGTTATTTTTATCTATGTACCTGTCTTTTGTAATGATTACAAAGTCTCTCCACCCCTGCATGTCTTAAAATCATCTGTTTGTGCCCTGGTTGGTGTGGCTCAGTGGACTGAGCACAAGCCTGCAAATCAAATGGTCACAAATTTGATTCCCAGTCAGGGCACATGCCTTGGTTGTGGGCCAGGTCTCCAGTAGTGGGAGCATAAGAGACAACCACATATTGATGTTTCTCTCCCTCTCTTTCTCCCTCCTTTCCCCTCTCTAAAAATAAATAAATAAAATCTTAAAAAAATTATCTGTGATAACATGGATAGATCTTGAAGATATAATGCTAATGAGTCAAATGAAAAGTACAATGCTAATAAGTCAGAGGGAAAAAGACAAAAAACAAATGACTTCACTCATATATGGAATATAAAACAAAAAGTAAGAAACAAGCTTTCAAAACAGAACAAAAATAAACTCGAACACAGGCATCTGAATGGAGGTTACCAAAGTGGAAGGGGGATATAGGAGAGTAGAGAGGGGTCAAATATATTACGGATATATTGTGAGCACCCAACATTGTATACAGATGTTGTATTATAAAGATATACACCTAGAATTTATATAATGTTATTAACTGATGTCACCTCAATAAAATTAATTTGGAAAATCAGCCATGGTGGAAGTGTTTATACCACAGGAATTGGCAAATGCTATAAACTGGGGCTTGATTTATTGCCTTGTTCATTGTTTCTCTAGACTTAAGGAAGCAATGGAGGAAAGGTTACCGAAGAAGATTAAATTTAAAATTGCATCCTGTCTGTCCCTAGCTGGCATGGCTCAGTGGATTGACCGCCAGCCTGAGAAGCAAAGAGTCGCTGGTTCCATTCCCAGTGTAGGGCACATGCCTGGGTTGCAGGCCAGGTCCCCAGCAGGAAGAGCATGACATGCAACCACACATTGATGTTTCTCTCCCTCCTTTCTCCCTTTCTTCCCCTCTCTAAAAAAAATTAAATAAAAAATCTTTTTAAAAAATTGCATCCTATCTGTAACCAATACATTGCACATGGCAACAAAACAAAACAAAAATAAATAAATAAAAACAGACTAGGAAATATTCTTCCAGTATTTGAAAACCACTATTCAATTTAGCAAAGAAGTTGCTTATGTCATTGAAAAACAAGTGAAGTTCCCATCTTTATTGAATCTCTTTATTGTGTCTTTATTGAATCTCTTTTTCTTATTAGTTAACTTAAATGAAAATACCGACAAATATTCATGTTGGTTCATTTGCTGACTGCAACCATAGGTTGAATAGGGATGTAAACTTTTAGTAAAAATCAGTGAAAGCATTCTGTGAGAGCAAATGGCTATATGGAATTTATAATAAAGGCTATTGTATATTTTATTATCATTTATGAAATTGTGTGCCACATATCCTTTATGTGCATCAAATTTATTTTTTATATATATATATTATGTATGCACACACACACACACACACATATAATGTATACACACATAAACACACCACTGAGAACCAGTTGAACATTTATCAGCATACCACTGCATGAAACAATCTTAAAAGTTTTTTTGGCTTTGTTTTCTTTTGTATATGTGTTTTCTTTAAGTTTGTTGTTCTGCTTTGTTTTAAAGTGCTCATGGTGAAAAGTTAAAACCTGTTTAAAAGTTTATTTACAAAAATGTTTTCACTAAATTAACCAAAAGGAAAATTGTAAAACTCGTAGGCTAGTAAAGGGTTACATAGAACAATGATCTTTAAATTGAGGTAATAGCTAGATATGAAGCAGGCAGAAGGAAGGGGAAGATCTTTTACCAGGAGATAAAAAATGACCTCATCAGAGTTAATAAGTTTAGTTCATTCTTGTCAAAGCTCCTTTCTTGGGGTTTGTTCCTACCATTATAGCTGTGTGAGATAGGAAATAGAAGAGTCAGAAGGAACTGGCATGTAACTTTCTAATTAATGTGGAGTTTATAAAGGCAATACATTGAGCAGAGTAAATATGTATAGGAACTATTTGTCTGTAATTGTGAAGAAGGAGAACATGAGAAATAAGAAGCCATAAATATTTTTTATTTCATTTTAACCAAAAATTCTGGTTCTAAATCTCTTAGAGGGATCTATTCCAGATTAGAATTAGTGATGACCTGGCAAAAAAATTCTAATCAAGTTTGGCATAAAGGCCTTGATTAGCTATAGCAGCTATAGATACAAGCATGTATATTTCAAAATAAACCAAAGTGTGTGTGTGTTTGTGTGTGTGTGTCTGTGTATTTCTTTAGAAACATGATTCACAAGAATGTTTAAGTCTCTTCTTGGTATTTGCTTATTTTTAGAAAGACTTTTTTTTGTGGGTGTCAAAGTGAAGAATAGAAGTGAAGAATAGGATCCCATCTCATTTTATTCATAGCAAGAACAGAGATCTTACATGCACACAGCTCCTGGGCAGAAAAGGTCAGAGTTGTGGCAGGCAGGCCTTCATTCTCTCAAGCTAGGGTATTAAAGCAACTTGAGACCTAGTTCAGAATCCAGGTTCCATTACACTCTAATTATGGAATGGTGAAGAAGGTATGTAGTTTCAGTAAGATTTAGGTCCCTCAATTATAATGTGAGGATAACAAATCTCTCCTGCTAGGGTTGTGAGGATTAGATGAGCTATTTTGTATAAAGACAATTCTAATCTCTCTCTCTCTCTCTCTCTCTCTCTCTCTCTCTCTCTCATTTATCATCTAAATATTTATCTATCATCTATCTATCATCTATCTATCATCATCATCTATCATTTCACTGTCTAATCTATTGTCCATGGGAGAGACAAAATAAACTGGCAAAAGTGACTACCTCTGAGAAGGGAGAGGTGCATTTCACTGTATTTTATTTTTATGTTTGTGCATATACTGCTTAAATATGTATAATATTTATATATTTTAAAAAGTTAGGTGGTAGAATGACAGATACATAGTGTTCAATAAATATCAGTTTTCTTCTCTTTATCATCTCAGCTAACTATCCACAAGGTAAACATTTTGTTGTATGGACAATACAGCTTTCTCTAAGACTTTATAGTGGTCTTCCCTAATTACAGATAATTACAACACTTCCTAAAGATTTAGTGAGTAAAACTAAATGTATGAAGAGATAAAAACAAATTTCTTAAAATTGAATACGCTCTTTATTTTCTCCACAAAAGTTTTTTAATGAGTCTAATATTTTCTAAGGTGCTTTGACTGTGTCACTCATGCGCAATTCAGAGTCTTCTTTATCTAGGAAGTCCTTTATAAATACAATTTAAGAGGGAGCTAAGGATTAAAAAATAATAGTGACTACTAGTTATTGAGTATGAACTTTAAGGGCATGCACCGTACTAGGAGCTTAACTAACACTATCTTATTTAACCCTACCTATTATAATATACATTCAACAGATGTGAAAATTTAGGCCTAGAGAGGGTAAACAACTTGCTTAAGGTCACACAGTTGGCAAGAGGTCTAATTCCAACATTAATGTTCTTTCTACAGTATGCCTTCCATCCAGATACAACCTGCTATATTAATAGAGCACTTAAACAATTGTCAGGACTATTATGATTCATTCATTCTTTCTTTCAACAAATACTTCTGGAATACCTACTATGTGCTTGGTACTGTTGATGTTGGGGATACAGTGATGAACTTCATATAAAAGGCCCTGCCTTTATGAAATCTGAATTTTAGTATATTAACTATGTACCTAAATTGTATCTATTGCCATTTGGATTTCTGAAGTTCTGCTGCGAGGCAGATTGATAGTAAAATCCTTGAGATATGGTTCAAATATATCTCTATGCTAAAAATTGGTGCTTCCTTGGCCCGAAAGGCCTCCCACAGACTGGCACCGATACGGCCTGTGAGGAAGTGCACAGAAGGGCAAGGGCAAGCGTAAATTGACTCGCCTGCCCGTGATTGCAGAGCGGCCCACAAAATTAGTAGATCCCCGGCAGAAGGGGTCACAGAGCTACCCAGAGTCCCTGGAGAAGAGACCAGAGACAGGATTAAAGGGAGAGTCCTGGAGCTGACTTCCTCCAATTTCCGTAGTGCCCACTTGGCGAGGGCAAGCAACACACCCAAAGAGCCAAAAGCGGGGGAAACACACAATACACGACCCTAACGGACCAGTGCTGGGGAGCTAGCAGGCCAGGGGGGCCAGATGAGTACGTGAGGTCGTGAATAAGCCCCATGGTCTGGGGCAAGAACATGCGAGCCCAGGCAGGTGGGGGATCCTGCCGCATGGGGAGCACGCTCAAGGAGCCAGCATGAGGGTGCAGAGCGATCCCCAAAAAATAGCCCAGCCCTGACTGAAGGGGTAACAGAGATACCCCAAGCAGGAGTCAGACACAGAGAGTAGACTCCTGGAAGGCTCAAACAAACAACCCAAGGGCATATAGTGTCAACAACTGACATCATCAGAGGCAGGCCCAGAAAGAAAAGTAAAGGACAAAAATACTTAAAAGACTCTCACAAAAATGGGAAGAAAAAGAAGTTCCCCCCAAATGAGTGAAAAAGGGGACTCCCCACAGAGGGAGTTAAATGAAATAGAGGCAAGGGAACTATCAGATACTGAATTCAAAACAATGGTTCTAAGGAAGCTCAATGAGCTCAGCCAGCTCAAAGAGAACTATGAGAAACTGCAGAGAAACTATCAGGATCTTACAGCAAACTATATCAGCCTGGAAAAGGACATAGAAACTATCAAGAAGACACAAGAGGATATGAAGAATACCATT